GTAGTGGTAGTGGTAGTGGTAGTAGGTAGTAGGTAGTAGGTAGTAGGTAGTAGGTAGTAGGTAGTAGGTAGTAGGTAGTAAGTAGTAGTGGTTCGGTGTTCTGTTGCTCTAAACTTAAACTCGGGTTCATAGAGGTTAATTGCTTTTAGGGTTTACAGTTTGACAGTGGTTACTTCGAGGTTAAGGGGGTTGGGTGGCCTGTTCGGGGGTAAGGTTTAGGGTTTGGCGGTCGGGGAGGAGTGGGGGTCCCAGATAGAACCATTACACATATGGCTGCATACATTGCGTGGCCCCAACACCCTAAACTCTGATCCCTAAAAGTCCTATACCCTAAACTGCAACCAATATGATTCGGCGCTACTTTTCATCTCCTCATTCTTCAGCTTGCCCGAGACCCAACGCACGCTGCGTACGTTGGCAGCACGGAGTGGGTCTGGTCAGGTATTCTAAGGCATTAATTACGTGGCCCTGCTTGAAGATTCATAGGACGTTTTTCTATGAGGTTGGGTTTAAAAATTAGGATCCTTACTATCAGCCGCCCCCGAAACCGTAGAAGGAACCCTTCAGGAACCACAAAACTCCTGCAGCCCTCTGTAAGACCTTGGGAACCCCTATGAGAACGCATATAACCCGTAGAAAGCCGTTTCTCAACCACGTTAAATGCAATAACCATCGTGTACAGAAGCCTGAGCAATTACCAATGCCATTGATCCCTTCGCCCCAATCTTAAGCGGGGAGGTATTATTGGTGTTATTTCTATCTCTGCTGTCACTTTTGAAGGATCTTGCTCTTGCTCTTGCTCCTGCTCTGGCTTTTGCTCCTGCTCCCTGCACTTCCTCCTGCTCTTGCTTTTGCTATTGCTCCTGCTCTTGCTCTTACTACTGCCCTTGCCTTTGCTCCTGCTCTTACTCCTGCTCGTGCTCCGGACTCCCCTAATGCAAGTAGGTTTTCAAGGGCAGAAGGGTGTTTCATAAATGGCGAAAGTGATTATTTTTCAGGGCTCCCAAACTTAACGTAACTATAGTTTATGATGGTTTATGTTTAAACTCCACCCAACTCCCTGTTCTAGTGATGAAGGCACGGTACTCAGCCCGTGTAATAAGCTTTCGGAACCTTTCAAAGAACCCTCATGACGACCCTTAACCTTTCGAGGGACCCGTAACCCCAAAACCCCAAAACCACAACCCCTAAATTAAACCCCTCGAACCCTCGAACCTTAGACCCCAAAACCCCCAAACCCTAAAATCGCCTGGTCCACTGATGGAGGCCCCTAGGTTTCCCATACTTCCGAAGGCGACGCCGCCGGGCCAGGGCTTCGGAGGTGGAACCGAGGGCGAAAGAGAAGGAGGTTAAGAAAAAGGTTGTGCATGGAAAGGTTTAGGGGCTTAGGGTTTAGGATAGTGTTCTTCATTAGGTTTGCAGGGCTTTTCTTGTGGTTTATGAAGGTTTGGTGGAACTTTTGGGGGGTTTTTAGGCGTCAAGAGTTGAGGGTGTCGTTTTGGGGCATGGACATGAGGGTTTGAGATGGTAGACCTGGGTCTTCGCGATGTAGGGGCTTAGGGGCTTGGGGTTTCGGGTTTCGGCCCTGCGGTGGAGGCTTCAGGGCTGATAAACAGGGGTTTAGGGGGTTATGGCTCCGTGGTTCAAGGTTGTGGTTAGGGTTGTGAGTTTCGGGGTTCGGGTTCTGCGAGAATTCTGGCCTCTGCACAGCGGCCACAGTTTCGTTAGTTGATGCGGTCAACCCTTTAAGATGCTTTGGCTTCCGCAAGCACATCTAGATGTCGAGCCCGTGGACCCCGAAGTTCTTGAAGTCTGGGCACCAGCTGCTGATGTCAGACTTCCAGGCAAGGTGGCTTAAACAAGGGAAGCAGGGTTTGGGTTTTGGTGACTGTATATTCTCCTTTGAAGTATCACTAAGTGTATATTCGGGGTGCTACTTGGGGCATACCATGAAGTAGGCTAACAGAACCTACCTCAGCTCTCCCAAACGTCTTTCACTCGTGCTTGATTTGCAAGATGAAGCTTTACATCAAGCAGGCGACGTTACCATGCCGGTCAGCCCGGCGGAGGCGTGGAGCTTCGGAAGTGTTTGTTTTGTTGTCGTTTGGTTCTACTTTGAAAGGGGGTGGGTAGCGCTCGTTGTTTGCAGAGGGGTTGAGCTTTAGTCGTGTCGAGGAGTGTAACTTTCGGGAGGTGGAAAACCGACAGCAACAACGGGGATCGCTGCGGCAACAGCAAAATCAGAAAACGTCAACGGGCAGACATTTATCACAACGGCTAGCAGCAGCAGAAAGAGGAGGAGTAGTAGTGGTAGTAGTTGCCGTCGAAGAATAGCAGCTTAGCAGAAACAATACGCAGAAACCGTCGTCGTAGTAGTGGTAGGAGGTGCAGTCGCAGCAGGAGTAGTAGTAGTAGTAGTAGTAGTAGCAGTAGTAGAAGTAGTGGTA